AGAGAGAGAGAGAGAGAGAGAGAGAGAGAGAGAGAGAGAGAGAGAGAGAGAGAGATTTGCGATTTGGAGACTTGACGGCATTTGGATTCAGACTCGACATTGGGACCGAGACCTTTGACGAGGGATTATTTGGGACCTATATCGAAGACTTGGTGTTGACGACATTCTCATCTTCCCCCTCTTTTTCGTCTGATCCCCCTCCTCGTCTGTGTATGTTTGGGACTGGCGCATTCTTTCTGTGTGAGCGCCAGGTCCCTTCACACCTTGCGATGATGGTGATGTGTGTTTGGTCTGCATTGCGACATTGATTGCGTTGATCATTGGTATTTTAGCCTTCTGCTGCGCTATCTTGTACTATGTGAGAGAGGTCGGTTCTTGGCTCTGGTCTGTACCGTTATGGTATGCCACACGGCACCTGGATGGAGTCACAGAATAATACAACCGTGCTATGGACACCCCTTGTACAGAAAACAACACACTCCGCTTCATGTTGTCCGGATTTGGAACATCAGTACAACCACTGCACCACGCTCACAGGTCTGCACCTGGATGGAATTAAACCATATATCCGTGCTTGAACAGATGAGGGCCGATGATACACAGTGAGTCGTCATTGCCTTGCCGTTCAGGTCGCCCCCGCTGAACCAATCACACAAGATAGCAGAGGCCACGCGCAGCGCAAGATAAGCAAGGCAGAGCAAAAAGCAGCCTACGTGCACGGAACTAGTTCGCCACGCCGATCACGAACGTGAACGGTGCGTCGGAAAAAGTTTACCGAATGGTCTTCACTTTGCAGCCACGACATGCCTAAGATCATATCGAACTTAGTGTCCAATATGTCGAATGACACGGCCTCGCATGCTACCGGGGCAAAGTACACGGGCACGGAGTCAACGCAGCAGTCGATTGGCTTTTGCGTGTCACCATCGGCCAACGTGACGTGCGTAGGCAGTCGATTGACTTCCCCTCCATGCCCTTCGTCAAGAGGTTCCAACGGATCGCTGCACCATTGTTGCGACTTCAGTCCCCCTTGGTGCCCTTTGAATTCACTGACGAAGCCCAGCACGCGTTCCATACGCTGAAGACGGCGTTGCTTCAAGCTCCCGACTTGAGCATCTATGACCCGACCTTGCCAACCAAAGTGACTACGGATGCTTCCGGCTACGACATTGGCGCGGTTTTGGAACAGCATGACGGTACAGACTGGCATCCGGTTGAGTACTTCAGCCAAAAGGTGCCGCCCATCAATTCCCTTAATGATGCGAGGAAGAAGGAACTGCTAGTTCTCATCACGGTACTTAAGCGTTGGCGTCACTTTCTCCTCGGGCGTCGACGATTCACGTGCGCAACAGACAACAATCCGTTGACTTATTACAAGACGCAAGACACGGTGAGCAGCACGATTGGTCGCTGGATGTATTTCATTGACCAGTTCGACTTCACCTCCAAGCATATTCCGGGGCCCTCGAACAAGGCAGCGGATGCTCTCTCGCGAAGACCCGATCTTTGCACCTTGGTGCACTCCACATTCGGCCTCGATGAGGACCTGCAACAACATTTCATAAACGGCTACAAGTCGGATCCGGGATTCTCCACACTCTATGCGGACTTATCATCGGATCACCCGCCGACAAGCAGTTATCGCATCACCGACGGCTACGTGCTCCTCCATATGCGAGGCAAGGACTTGTTGTGTGTTCCCCAAGACCGCATCTTGCGCACTCGCCTCCTTGGCGAATACCACGATTCGCGGCTGGCGGGACACCTTGGCATCGCTCGCACACTTGCACGACTCCGCCAGCGTTTCCACTGGCCGGACATCATCAGCAACGTCAACCGGTATATTCAGTCATGTGCAGTTTGCCACCGGAACAAAGGGCGCCATCGGCTCCTATACCGCGAACTGAAACCATTGCCGATTCCTCGGGAAGCAGGTCTCTCCATTGCCATGGATGTCACCGGTCCTTTCCCTTGCGATCGCCTTGGCGATGATGGTATTCTCACGGTCGTCGACCGTTTAAGCAAGTACGCTCGATTTCTTTCATGCAAGTATCATGCGACGACTCCCGAGCTTGCACGTTTTTTGCATACCGGCTGGTTTTGCAGCCACGGCGTTCCAGAAGACATCGTCAGCAACCGCGACACTCGTTTCATGTCAGCCTTTTGGACGACACTTATGGTGGAATCCGGCACCAACATGAAACCGAGTTCCACACGGCATCCTCAAATGGATGGGCAAACAGCACGTGCACACCAGAGTGCGCAGATGATGCTCCGCACACTCATCCGCCCGGATCAAAAGAACTGGGTTGACCGTCTTCCCGACATCGAGATCGCCTCACTTCGGTGCACCCGGCGATCGGCGTGACTCCATTCGAGTTGCATCACAGTGGACAGAAAGGCCGTATCTTCGCAAACATTTTGCTTCCACAGGCTGCCGATATCGACGCCACTTGCTCTCCCGTTTCCACATAGAAGTATAGGGAGTTGTTGGCCAAAGCCCCCGCAAATATGCAAAAGGCTCAGGTCCATATGCAGCAGCAAGCGAACCGGCATCGCATCCCATGTCCAATCCATGTTGGTGACCTTGTTTGGTCACCTCCGAGGAATTTGCACTCGAGCAGCACGTCTCGTGCAAGCTCCTCCCTAAGTGGTTTGGGCCATGGAAGGTCACTTCAGCAGCTGGCAACGACCCCGCGGGTCCCTCCTTCATAATCGAGATTCCCCCGCATCTGACGGTCCACCCTATATTTCACGCTTCGAAGCTAGCGGTCTACACTTCAGCCTCACGAACAGAATGGTAGACGGTCCCACGACCCTCCTTCGATGGACGGTCACCAGGAGGTCGACCGCGTCCTCGCTCATTGCAAGCACTGCAACAAGCCGATGCAGTACAAAGTTACATTCAAACAATGCGATCCCGACGACACATGCTGGATTTCACGAGCTGACCTGAAGGCAACAGCACCCCTCATCTTCGCGCATTACGAAAAACAGTGACTTGCTAAGGAAGCTGCCCAACCCGCCCGCCCCATACGGACATCGGACAGACAGCTTTGCCCTCTTAGTTAGCTCGATCTTGAAGGGGGGAGTGTGTGGCATACTGATACCACACGGGCCCCAGTTAGGGCCCGGTTCTGTAGTAGGCACGGGTTAGGCCTAGGTACCGGGTCACGACGGTCCCAACTTGGTCCAGGTAGGCCTAGGAACCATCGGTTCAGTTTAGAGTCTGGTAGGCCTCGTTTAGACCCCACCAGACCCAACGGCTAGTTGGTTAGGCCAGGTACCGGTCCATCAGTAGGACCGGCTGGCAGCGCAGTTTAGGCGCCACTTTTCAGATGTCGAAATCGGATCTGAACCGTTGGGCCTGATCAACGGTCCAGACCCGAAGGCACCAGTAGTACTGAGGCCGACCCAACACTATATCAGCTGGGTACCAGCCTCAGTTGGTCTGGAGGTTGGGCTACGAGTTAGTCTACAGATTAGCGCAGCATTTCAACATTGGGAAGTGCGGAGCAGCAGAGATATTAGCGCAGCAGCGAGGGGAAACAGCGCAGCAGTGAGTTAATGCAGCAACAGGAGCAGCGCCGGCCCTCTGGCCCAGCCCGCGGCCCAGCGCCCAGCCCTGCCGCGCCATAGCTGCATCGCCAGGTACCAGGGAGAAAGGCTTCACCTTTCCTCCCTCTTCTTCCTCCTCTGCTCTCCCTCTCTCTCTCTCTCTCTCTCTCTCTCTCTCTCTCTCTCTCTCTC